CTTGGTACAATTGATTTTTTTCAGATTGTACCCTAAAATATAATGGATCGTTTGAATAGAGACGTTCTACTCCTGATCTGCTCCTACCTCGACCTGGGAGCCCTAGCCAGCTTAGCAGTAGTCTATCCGAGATTGTCAAATGATATCTTTCGTATTCTGAGAAGTACTCGATGGGCACTTAAGTTGGTAAGTAGTACTATTCCAGCACATCTTCTATTTTTGATTTATATTTTATTTCGTGCACTTATGATGCTTTGATGTAAACTTATTACCTTCAACGAAAACCATCAGGAACCGAATTTTGACAATTGCCAGATAGGGAATATCGTGAATAACCATATGTGCTTTTTTTGAATACTAACCATAACTCTCAAAGGTCAAGAAAATGAACACTTTTGAGCAAATAAAAGACTTATATATAGATTTGCTGGAGTCGTTATTCGGGGACTTTTTTGTTAATTGAGTTTTAATAATTAGAATCATTTTTTTGATAATTAATTGTTTGAAATAAGAAGTGGAAAATTTTGAGAGCATTCATTTTTTCTGATTTGTTGGCGAAGAGCGAGAGTTGTTTCTATATCGCAAAGAATTAGCAGATTAAAAAAGACAGATCACGTTATAATTTTGTATTTTTACTTTCTAACAAAAAATAACCAACAGGTTTTAGAGAATTCTTCCACAATATACCAGCATGGCATACATTTCCATACCAAAATCTAATTCCCATATTTCATTACCAGAAGAAAAGCCTATCCAGGTAAATGTGGAAAATGCCAAGCTACTACCCTCAAAAGTTTTTTTTTTCATTCAGGACGACCTATTATTCGGACAATGGACGGAATTACGAGGGATGGTTAGAAAGCAAATTCCATATGAGTCCATGCATATCACTTATCTGGACATCACACAGGTTGGGGAGGGGTTTACTGATTTGTAGCGTGATTTTTAATTCTGTTTATAGTTTGGATCCGCCTCGGTGCCGACCGATGTAAAACATATTTTGGGATCTGTAGAAACGGATTTGTTGAGCTTGAAATATGAAAGCCGTGTGGAGGCTCGAAAGATCCTTGAACGGGTGTCATTTAACCCTAGAGCTACCCTATATATTCATGAACTCACTTTCGAGAAGGCTACGTAAGTTTTTCGTTTTTATAGCTACAAAATTCATAAAGATAATTTTTTTTAGTGAACCACTTATTCCCACTGAACTTACCCATATTGAAGACGTCTGGTTCTGCGGTGATATTTTGCCAGCCGACTTTATTACCCTACTTTCCTCAGAAATTTTATCGCTTTGTCTAACTTGCGATCGAATACGGAAAGACTGCGTAGTTATAGTAAGGGAGTACATAAAGGTAATTCTAATTATCCTACATTGATCAAAATATCATTCAGTTTTTTTTTAAATTACAGAATTTTCTGGATGGTAGAACAAACCAAACAAGTTGTAGAATTAGTTCAAGCGGAGAACTTCTAAGGCATGTATTTGAGGTGAAGACACGTCTCGCTACACTGACATTTTTTTCAAATAATTGCCTAATTTCTATTTCAGGACTTAGCTGGAGTCGGTGAAGAATGTATGGCTAATGGGCCACGAC